CAATCTTCATCCTCTCCTCGATGAATCCTTTCATGACTACTCGGTCACAAGTGACTGCTAACCCTACCATGATTCTCCATGTATATTTCAAATTTTAAAAAGATTTATAAATCTTAATATCATTTTATTCTTGATATGGGATTCATTCCCTTTTCACTACTGATCTCATGATTTTAATATAAAAGTGAATATATAGCCTTTCTAAGTCATTTGATGATGAGAATTAAGACTTAATTAATTCATGTTATGGTAAGTGCTCATTGGAAGTGATTCTTGAAATCAACATGCTATAAAAAAAAAAAAAATTGAATAAGGGAAGTATAGTTGATCTTATATGAATTTTTTTCTTTTTTTGATTTAGGGGAATTGTTAGGGATATGAGGTGTAGGACATGTGGAATAGATCTTAAGGCTTTTACATATAAACAAGTTCTCACAAAAGGGATGACCAGTAGGTTACATAGTGTCAGATAGTTAATCTTATATGAATTTATTTATAATAAGTTAGTAAGATAACTGATTTCAAAACTCATGATAAAGAATAAAAAACAACAGAAAAATGCGACTCCAATGTTGATGGCTATCAAAATTTCTTCTAATTAAGTAATTAAACCCTAATGTTTGCCCATCTATGCCATGCTCTATCTAAGACAATTTCTAATATCAAAGGGGAAAGAAAAAAACATCAAACTTCTTTCAAAAATTAAGAACTAAATAGCCAATAAAAAATTTCATCTATATATATACCCAAATGAAATCCAAAATGAATGATTAATACAGGAAAAATATGTAACTAAAGATGCTAATTTTATTTTTTTTATTTAAAAATGTTAATTTTATTAATTTTTAAATAAAGATATTAATTTTTTTCTTTTGTCTATTTAAAGATATTAATTTTTTATTTTTTCTATTTAAAGTGTTAAATTTCAATTTTTTCTATTTATGGATACAATTTTCAATTTTTTTATTTAAGGATACAAATTTTTAACTTTTTCTAGTTGAATAATAATGTTAATATGA